GGATCTAGAGCAGCAACCCATAATCACATACATTAACATTCCTATAGCTAAATGAATGAACGTTCAAAGTGTTCAGGTTTGACTAACTCAAAAACCCATGAGTTGTTTTGAGGCTAAATTAGTTTTGCCACAAACTTAGGGAACTGGTGATTTTTTAAAGCCTTTTGAAATTCATAAGTGAATATAAGGAATCATGGATCTGTAGGACCTACTCCCCTCACAGAGATAATGTGAAGGTTAAGTGAGTATATATAAGGTATTTACTCAGTGCCTCTCACATGGGTAGCATTTAATAAATATTGGTTATCATTATAAAACTAGAGGCCCAGTGCACAAAATTCATGCACTTGGGAGGAGGGGGTGTTCCCCAGTCTGGCTTGTGCACTCTCACAGTGCGGGAGCCCCGCGATTGATCTCCCCAAAGAGGTAGGCCCCGCCCACCCATCCAGGGCTCCTTGATAGATTGCCCCAAAGAGGTAGGCCGGAGCTGGGGGTCCCGCCTCTGCACCACGCAGGGCCGCCGGGACCCACCTCCGTGCTGCTTACATAGTGTCAAGTCCCTGCCTACCCGTGCTCGCCCGCTACGCATGCAGTCTACTGGTGACAAATTGTTACAGCGTGAGGGCATCACAGAGTGAGGGCACCACAGCATGAGGGTGTGACGACCACATAGGCTTTTATTAGTACAGATTAACAAATGAGATACAAGATAACTATAGTAGTAAGCTGACTTGTGTTAGCTAGGGTAGGAGGAAGGGGTAGGGTAAGTAGTGGTTAGAAGGGAATCTAAGACAATTATGTTAATTAAAATAAAACAAACTGAGAACCGATGGACCCTAAATTGAAAGAAAATAATGCATATATCACATTGAACTCTTAAGTAAACACTCACTTCCTTTTGATAAAAGGGAGTTTCTCCAGGAGTTAAGATCTAAAGATGTTTCATATTTTCTATTTTACATGTGGTTTCCTCCTACTTACAACTCTATATAGCTTTCTTCCTAAAAGTGGGTCTGATAATGAAGCTTTTGCTCAAGGTAGGTCCAAAACTGGTTTCTCCTTAATTTAAAAAAGCAATAAATTCTTGTGGACTATAGCAGGATAAGGTAAAATTTGGGAAATTAAATAGTAAATGCAAGAAGTATATTGAACCCTATCTCCAAAATATGCCCATTTATCTCCTCCCTGTCTACTGGTTTCCTGAACCAAACTTCCAGAGAAACTATAAGACTTATGGGGGAAATGAAGAGAACTATCACTTATTGGTACTACTCTTTGCCAAGCACTGGATTATGTACTTCACATATATCCCTTATTTAATTTTTACAAGACTGGAAGGCAACAGTTATCATCCCATAGTACATAAAGATATTGAAGTAATAAGTGGGTGAACTAAGATTCAAGCTCAGGTTTGACTAACTCGAAAACCCATAAGCTGTTTGCTCTAGAATACTTTGATAAAGGATAGAGCTTTATTTTGACATTCTTGACTGTTAGCTTCCTTTGTATTTGTATAAAGTATTTTTTAAGTGCACATAAGATTAAATTTATATCATCTCTTAGATTAAATGCATTATAGTTCTTTATATAATCCAAAATTTGAAATGCACTTGCAATTTTTATCTTAATTTATCTCTGAAAAAAATAATAAAAGGATATCCATAAATTACATGTATCCTCTTTAGTTATAACAGCATATTCATGTGCATATTGCATTAAGTTTCCAAGCAATTAGCAACACAATTATAGTCAAGGAAAGTCAAAGAACTTCAAATTTGGGAGAGATTTTAAAGATAAAATGTATATTTAGTTGAATAACCATTCTGGTCATGAATTTTTTTATGGGGTTTAACCTCCCAAATATCTCTACCATTCCAGAGTTTATTGACTTTTTAGGGGGTGTATTCTTTAGGACAAATTAAAATTACTCTTTCTATAATTTAAACTCATTCTATTTCAGCTGGGCTTTTAAGACGATAACAAGTCTCTAACATACCTGTCATTTTGCTACTTTATTGATTTTCACTGCAAGTTTGTAACAAAAAAAAGAAATACAAATACATTTGAAAACAGATTTTAAGTTTTCTCCCCTCCTTTCCCCAGACAAAATGAGTAACTACCATGCTTCAATCTTTCCTCACTCTTGTCAATATCCATTTTTGCTGCCCTTTAAAGTGCCTCTCTATGTTCAGAATGAACTGTTAAAAAAAATAATTGAACATTACCCTATACTACTATTTTAAAACCACTTGTCATTGGCCCTGGTAAAAAGCTAGGATCCTGTATATCCTGTGTACTACGTTAATTCAGTAAATTAACTTAGTTGAAGAGGAACAGAAGTAAAAGAAATGCCAGGCTTAACCCTTGTTTCTAACTCTACAGTGCCAGTAAGGAAAAGGTATATAACCTTGATCATCACTTTTAGTAGAATGCAAGAACAAAACTGAGGCATAGATTGCTACTCTAATTTACAGTCTTTGCAAAAATGAAAGCAGAATAGTCCTGAAATCCTATCTCCCAATGAAATACTACTCAAAGGAAAAAAGTCCAAAAGGGGCCTGCTCTACAGGCGACCAATAGTCCCCAGGTGGCTCCTGAAGAACTTTTATGACTGGAAAATCAAATTTGAATTATTGAATAATTTGAATATAATTACTTTTATAGTGAATAAGAATGCTAGAGTAAAAGTCGTAAGATCTCGGTTCACATGCTAGAATCTTGCTGGGTCTCTGGTTTGCCCATCCATATTATGGAGACAACTCCTACCCTCTAACTGACCAGCTGGGAAAAGTTAAATAAGATGCTACACACACAAGCCCTGGCCCGTTTGGCTCGGTGGATAGAGCATCGGCCTGCAGACTGAAGGGTCCCAGGTTCGATCCGGGTCAGGGGCACATGCCTGGGTTGCAGGCTTAATCCCCAGTGGGGGGCACGCAGGAGGCAGCCAGTCAATGATTCTCTCTCATTATTGATGTTTCTATCCCTCTTTCCATCTTACTTCCTCTCTGCAATCAATAAAAATATATTTTTTAAAAAAGACGTTTCACACACAAAATAACCTTGTAAAGTGTGATCTATATAAATGTGAAGTATATGCTATACAATATGTAAAACAAACATTTCCTTCCCTATCACTCCCCTATACAAGTCAACTACCTTATTTCACATATAATAAAGGATTTTAATGCTATCAAAGTGAATGGTCCAAAAATCATATTAAAAGAAAAAGTGAGACAGATAGACACATATAGAATCGTTCTCTATTGGTTCTTGGAATAATACAAGAGAAGGATTCTACCCACACATCTTTTGGGTTTTACTTTACATTTTCTCTAAACTATTTTTAATAAACATTATTTGTAAGCAATTTTAAGAGAATTATACTATGGAAACTTTTTTTTTTCCTCTCCGGGCCCACACAAGTTTTCACAGTTATTAGGTTCATATGTAAATACTGAGTAATAAGGAAAAGAAATGTCAGATTTATCTGTTTGATACAGACAATTCAAATGGTTTGAGAAATATGATGAAGTTGCAAGATTTCTTAGAAAACTATTTGGAAGAGTTTGTATTGTATTCCTTTAAATATAGCATGATAAAGATTATTAAAACTATTAAATTATAACTTCTGTATATAAATGCATCATTTTTTGTTATAAATCATGTTACAAATGTCTAAGACACAAAACTATTCAATTTATCTTTCTTACAACCTTATATCAAAAAAAGTATAAAAACTTGGAACACACATCAGGGAATATTTGGTGCACTCTTTGGAGGACTTCTATAAAACAACAGTTTTGAAATGGAGGATATAGCCCCAGTTAATTTTTCTTGAGTCTCGGTTAAGTTTCTTAATCAACAGATTATACATTTATCTTCTCATAGGAACTGAAGACTGAAGAAATGTTAAAATAGCAAAGTTTTATCATCTTAAAAGGACTGGCAATTTCATTTCAACTATGTGGGAAGGTAAGAAGTAATTTGGGTGCAAATATAATCTCACAGGTTAAAGATGAACAGTTTGCATGGACTCAGAATCAATGCTCATCCCTCTGATGCCCCTCCCACAACCCAGCCCACCCTCACCCCTGCCCCCACCCCCTTTTCACCTTTCTTAAGGCCTCTTATAATGGAAGCAGAAGTTCACACACCAAACTGTAGCACCTTCCTACATAGCCAACCCATTATTGAGTAGAACAATTATGACATCAGCACTATGTTAGCTAATTATTCCACCAAATAAATAAAATCCAATGATCTCCAATACGACCATGTCATTGACTTGATTACATATGGATAGCTGCTGTATTTTACTATCTTTAATTTGAATTCCCTCTGATATAAGCTTGATGTCTGGTAATGTGTGAAGCAATTGTGGAAATGCATGTAGCATGTACACTTAACTGACTGCCATTTTAGACTGCCAAACCCATGCATCATGGGTACCAAAGAGATGGGAAAATACTAACAAAGGGTCTGATATTTGTTTTCTCATTAAATGAGCCTGAGTAGTGCCTAGAAATTTCCCATTATAGGAGCCTCAATGCTCTTTCTTAACTATTTCCCTATAAATTATGCGTGCTAGCCACTACTTTTCAACGCAGCATGCCATTAATCCTACTTGGGGCATGTTAGGGAGGAGGGTAGGAAGGAGGAGTTCTCTTTTGGTTTCTAAGTCCCACAGAAAGCTATATTATTCAACGCTTTTAAAAATAATAACTGTAACTACATAACAAAGTGAAGAACACTCTAATACTGCTTTTTTCTTAAACATATATAAGTTCTAAAAGAAAATAAAATTCCTCACAGTATTAACTACCATCAGGAAAGGAAAACCTATCTTAAAACAAAATCCTCAAAAAGAACTTGGTAATTAAAATTGTATATGTAAAATGTTACTGAAAAATTCAAACATAAGATCTTATCTGACATGTTAAAATACTCTAAATTTTGCATACATATAGTTTAAAATTTATAGAGAACATGTGATCAATTACCTCATATTCTTTCCATGAGCCAAACTCAATGTATTCTCTACCATAAAATGCCAGAATGATCAAGTGGCCTAAAAATATTAAAAGCAAGAAGAATAAGGTAAATATTAAAAATAAATTATTTAAAATCTAGATGCTGTTATTTATTTAGTTTATGAATAAATATTGTGATATAACAATTATTTTTTCAGTATTTCTCAATTAGGTGACATACAATATTACATTAGTTTCAGGTATAAAACACAGAGATTAGACATTCATATAACTTATGAAGTGATCACCCCAATAAGTCCAGGAATTGATCTGATACTACAACTGAATTATATTTAAGGTATTTTTTTACATGACTATATTTTTAAAAGCTTCCTCCTTAGCCAAAAATGATATTGTTTTGATTTTACAGGGAAGGAAAGAGAACTTTCAAAGAATAAGCATACTATTCTAATAATCAAGAAAAATATGTTAGGACAAATAATACAGAGAACAATCCTAGAAAAACCTGTACCTTTAAATATTGATTTTTGTTGTTGTTGTTAACCCTCACCAGAGGATATTTTTCCATTGATTTTTTTTTTAGTGAGAATGGATAGGAGGGGGAGAAACAGTGAGAGAGAAGCATCCATGTGAGAGAGACACATTGATTAGTAGCCTCCCTTCGCACCCTGACCAGGGCCTGGGATGGAGCCTACAACCGAGGTATGTGCCCTTGACCGGATTTGAATCAAACTCAGTACCCTTTAGTCTGTGGATCAACACTATCCACTGAGCCAAACCAACTAGAGAGAAAAAAACAACAACTGTACTTTTAAGTGGTAAAGATGAAAGACCAAACAATTCTGAGAATCAGCCTGCTAATTTCTTGTATACAGCGATGTAAGTGAAAATGGATTAGCAGCTGACACACCTTTACTCATTCCTTTTTAAAATAAATAAGATTTAGTTCTTAAGAATAAATAAGTAAAGATACACAAGCAGGTCACAAAGGTCAGGAAAATAATGAGACATGCATAATTATTCAGTTTTATGAAAATTTTTAAAAGAAATCTTTGGTTCAGGAGAGAACAGGCAAGGCTATTTTAAACTAATGATTTTTATTGGCTGATAGAGTAAATTTAGGGTAACACTGCTATACAAACAGGAACTTAAGTGTATTTGTTTATGCATATTATATCTTTTTTTGCCCTAAATATGTCCCATAATATCAGAAATCAATTTAGTAGAGTATATCTGATCCTTTAGTCAATTATAAACAGCATCATACTGTCTGGCATGATTTAGTTTTATTTGTTTTTCTTTTTTCTTTAAAGGTAAAGATGACACTAAGCAACAGTTGCCATCAATTTTTATGTTGGTCCATTAAACTTAGAGAAATAACAAAGCAAACAGGTACAGCTCAGTATATATGAACAGGCAACAGTCTAAATACACATATTTGAGGTTACTTGAACAAGACAAGACAAAGATCACTACAATAATCATAGGTGTTTGCTGCATACAGCAAAAATGCAATAATCTACTAGTTAACACACCAGAATTCTCAAAAAGAACTTGGTAATTTTAACCCTATTATCAAATGGTCCTGTTACTTTACTGTCATTATGAAATATTACATAGTTTTCTGACGTGAGATATTATTATTATACATATTTATTATACACTAAATGACTAAACAATACTTCAGAACAACTTTGAGCAAAATGACTATGAATTAATTATACATACCTATTTCTAAGAAAATTCTACCTACCCCTTTAATTCTAATTTTTTTCTCCAACTTAAGCTCCCCTGCATTTAACTTTTTATGTGAATATCAAGTTAGAAAATTCAAGCTAATATAGTTATCTGCATCTTCTCCTCCAAACAAGTTACAATACCTTCTCTCTGACTACATCCTTTACTACCTCATTCTGAGACTAACAAAATCGCTCAAGATCTCTTTTCTTGATATCTTACAAGTTCCTTAGCCACCATACCAGTTCACTGATGATACAAATTTGTCTTTGTCACTTATCACTTTAACCTTAAAATCCAACTCATTTCTTAAAGCCTGTTCTCATATATTATTAAGTTATTCATTTAAGAATCACAACTATGTTAAGTACCACACATGCCGTACAAATATTAAATATACATGGTGCAAACGCTCCATGGGTAGCTCACACACTACCATGCCAATTCACAGCAAGACAGTCTCTCCCTCAAAGCTCCACATTGGCCCCAGGAGAACTTATTTTCCTCATTTCTTCCCATATTCTACAATGATTTTTTTTCTCACATCTCTGGCACAGCTATTCGAAGTATCTTCATCTTGCCCTTTAACATTTATTGCATCACTGCAATGTGCTTGGCAATGTACTATCAGTTGATTAGGATAAAATGGTAAATAAAACACAGTTATTTTGCATTCGGGTCCCACCTCATCTGCTCCCACATATTGTCCTAACTTTCTCAGTGGCTTTATCATTCTCCTGGAACCCAGTGATCTTTCACTTTTCCACCATCATTTTCTCATACTTCATAACTAATAGTAAACAAGTCCTGTTGGATTGGTACTCATGTCAGATGATCCATTTCAGCACCACCCTGAGACCTAGGCGAAAGGGGCCATTGCCCAGGGACTGGCACTATAGAGAACCCACTTTGGCCCACTGGTCAGGTACTTCCTCATGCAGTGAAAAGTCTGCACAGCCCAGGGCCATGCTCTCTGACTCCTCTGCAATCTACCTCAGCAGACTCCCAGGACCCTGAATTCCCATGCAAAGCCCTGAACTATCAATCCTAGGGAAGATGGAGATGGAGGCATTAAGAGTAGTAAAGAGATAGCTTTTAACGGGTGAGGCAAGGTTGCTTGTGGAGTGAGCATGTGGACATGCCATGGCAAAGAAAGAGCCTTGGGTACGGGGAAAGGGAGGTACACTGCAGGGCACAGAGGAGTTGACAGAGGCCATTTCCCTTTGCCACTACGTTCTACAACAGAACTGAAAAACCTGAGAATACTAAATGGTCATCCATCACATTTAAAGCTGTGCTTGTCAAATTAGGAGAAAAACCATATCTTAACAGTTAGTTGATTTACAACATTTACGTATGTAAAAATACCATGTTTCCATTTGTATCCTTTATATCCATTAGTGATTGGAATAGGCCTATTTGCAATGAAGGTTCCCCAGCTCCAATCTTTATTATAACTGCAATCTATCAAATAATGATGTAATAGTAGCAGAGTAGCAGTAGTAAAAGTAGCATTGATAATACCTCTCACTGAAGGTCCTAGAACAGTACCAAGCATTTAATCTATACTAAACTCTTTCATACCCCATTTGTTACTTACAATCCCACTGGCTAGTTATGCACATCTTATCTATAAATGGAAAGAACAAGTGACAAAAGAAGAATTCTAACCATGGTCTTTATGAACTAAAAGCCCAGGTTTGCCCTAGCCCATTTGGCTCAGTGGATAGAACGAAAGGCCCCAAGTTCGATTTCAGTCAAGGGCAAGTACCTCAGTTGCAGGATCCTCCCCAGCCCAGGCCCTGGCCAGGCACATGCAGGAGGCAACCAATCGATGTATTTCCCCCATATCGATATTTCTGTCGTTCCCTCTCTCTTCCACTCTCTCTAAAAATCAATGGAAAAACACCCTCGGGTGAGGATTAAAATAAATAAATAAATTTATTAATTAATTGCCCAAGTTCTTCATCCTATACTTTCTTTCAGATGAACTAGAGAGGTTTACCTGGCTTTACTTATTTATTTTTTTGAAAAAATTTTAAAATGTTTTTGCTGATTTTATTTTTAAAAATTTATCTTTATTGTGGAAAGTACTACAGATGCCCCCCTTGTCCCCTATTGACCACCTCTACCAAGCACCCGCCCTAGATCTACTCCCTGCCAATCTTTACATATCTGCCAGATTAATCTCCTGAAAGCATCACTTTCATCTTCACACTTGATCCACTTTAAAAATATATACTGTCTGATTATGCTCTATCCAGTTAAATTTCAAATCCTTAGCCTGATTTTCTTTCCACTCCATCTGCTTCATTATTTCTCAACAAACTCTTCAAACTCTTCACACTAAAATCTACCTCTAACATGTGCTAACATGTGCTTAACCCCCTCCTCACAGCCTTATACACCACTCAATCAATCTTCAAGATCCACCTCATGTACTACACCTCCTCCATGAAGACTTCTCTAACTACTCATGCCCAGAATCTTTTCGCCCCATTTTTTATTTACATGTAATACTGGTAGTTTCTAATCATTCAGCAAGTAATTAAGCTATGTACTTAGCATGGTGAGAACCACAAAGGATATGACATACCTTTTGACTTGAAATCACTTTATGGACTTAATCTGGTTGGAATGCAGTATAGGAGACTAGTAAAGTGGCTCTAACAACAGAGCACTTGGCTGAAAATCTGCCTTGATTACATGTTACCATAGACTTGACTAACCCATTTAGAAATTAACTTTGAGAACCCCAAAGAACCTTTGTTAATGTGCATTATATCTAGTCATACACTGGTAAGTGTTTAACTGCCAGCTCTCCTTCCCCTACCAGAAAGCTATATTTGTAGTTTCTCCTCATTTCCATGGTATAAACAATCTCAACATGACTAGTTTCAAGCTAGCATGTCACATCTAAACGCAGAGTTAAGAGGTGAGCAACATTGGCTCTCTTGAGTTGGTAATAATAGGATATAGTATATCACCAGTTATGTCTATCCATATTAATCATATCAGAAAATTAAATGGAGAAATTTAATATTAATTTTAAAATAATAAAACCAATGCATATAACATAAACATCTTTTTATGAAACATATCTAAATTTTTCCAAACAAAAGAGAGTTAATGAAAAGAGTGGCACTGTTTTACATTTTTATAAACTTCTCTAATGTCTTGCTTAAGAGAAAATAATTAGCTTCTCACATCTACTTCTGCACTCAAACTGCTATTTTGGTTTATGAAGAAAATGCAACCTCACAGACATTTAGTTGAAAAAGTTGGAACCTCCTGGAGCTGGTGACCTCAGGGGTCCTCCATTCACACTTTGAACAGCATT